TTTCCAGTTGCTTAAATTGGAAAATTTACTGCGATGATCATACTTCACTTTCATCTACTACCGCAGTTCAAATATGAATTATTTCATATATACTTCACTAAACAGATCCCTTGTGCGAAGCTTGTGCGAATCCGAGACGGAAAAGAGGATTCAGACATTTAGAACTCCACGGCTCTTGGAAACAAAATTTAGCTCGATGCAGAAAAAACAGCTTTTGAAGAACTTCTCCCTGCCTCCCTCTTCCCGCCTACCCCCCTCACTGTGACCTGACTTCGTTCCCTGGATGGGATAGAGAGAACATGAGAACCCACGCAACCTGAAACATCATTTAGTGAATTTGAAGCAACACCTTTGGGAAATCTCCTACTTTCCACCGAGCACTTCCAGCTTCCAGCTTGTGCGCATTTATGGCTCGCTAAACACGAAGTAAACATTTGAGCAGTTCTTAAAACGAGAAACATGACGTTCATTGTTATCCAACCACTAGCCATTACTATCCAACCACTTTCAGGACAGGTGATATCCAACCAATCAGAACGCACATTCTATGTGAAGTGTTTTATTACGAGTGCAGCACAGCAATCGCTATGCGTATGAAGTATTATTTTTATGACGTATGCATGTGACATACCGTTTTTATTCTCCACCTTTATTACACCTTCTGAGAAACATTCTGCCAACTTATCAGCCAGCTCATCTTCGCATGGTTTTGTAATTGTTATTTCTGGAAGAAGTCTGTACGATGCTGTGGCTGTGGAGAGAAGAAAAAACATACATTGTTTAACACTCCGTTATATATCATGGCCGTTTTTACGCCAGTAACATGCTCTTTGTTTCAGTTCAATCTCGAGCCAAGTTCGAAATACATGTAGACCAAATTGGAAATAAGCTCTCTCTAATAAACCATACGTCGAACTGTGCGAGTCTTAAGAGAGGTCAAGGATGAAGCCCTTCTTTTTATAACCGTTTTTAAAATAAGGCGAAAACGTGTATATTTGTTGTCAACAGGAGATTTTCTTCAATTTGTGTGTTCGTAGTTATTAAAGGCTTAGAAAACGAAGACAAAATTAGAGGCTGTTTTATTCGTTTGCCGTTTGCGTGAACGTTATTCTTACACTCTCTATAGGCTGTCTCATGTACTGGCTACAAAAACAAATTAAACAAAAAAAACAAAGAAACAAACACAACAAAGACAAAGACCGAAAATCTGGACACAAATATCATATGCATTCTGACTTGCGTGCAAGGCTACACACGTTTCTCACTTGAGCAGAAACAGCTACATTAACATACCAACAGGAGAGAACTTTGCATGGTCCTTTCCGATTCCTTTGACAGCATGCATCTTGAGATCCAATTCCTGGAAAACCAAACATAACGACTGAAGAAAGTTTATACCCAGGTATTGTAGTCAACGTCCAACACGCGGTTGCTACAAACAAAATAAATTACAAGTTATAGACGAATACAATAAAAGAAACAGAAATAACGAGCCGAAGGTAGACGATACTTACAAACGTTGTNAATTAAATTTACACCTTACATGACAAGCTACTGAGTAACTTACCGTTTTTGTAAAAACAAAATATCTATCACGTTTTGAGAGCAGTTCGTAGAGAATAATAATTTATTAGTATTGAAAATCATTTCGTCAGCATTAATTGCAAGAAGTAGACATGTACAGTGTTACTTTTTTTGTCAATATATAGTTTGTTACTGTTTATGTTACACGATTGTTTCAACTAAAATATCTATCACGTGTCGATAGCAGTTTATCAGAAGAAGAATTATATTATTGACAATTTTTTATCAGAATTTATTGTAAGTCGTACAAATCTACAAAGGGAAAAAAAACAAATGCACCAGTAAAAATAAATCGTTCGAGTTAAATATTACCCTTGTCCGTTTGGGTCTGTTGGATACTAATCCCTTGAAAAATAAACGAGTGCGAAGCTGTAAAAATTCATGCCTTAAGAAAGAAAACAAGGCTTGAATAAAACATACAATAGAATTCAATTTCAAACTTACTTACTTTGTACGACATTAATTTACTATATTTTTCCAACGATCTCCAACACCATGTGATATCTTAACGTCTCACCCCCACCATCTTTCTACATGGGGCAGCACTTCACTTCCACTATGGAACCAGTGGTCTAANGGGGGGGGGGGGGGGGGGGGGGGCGTTGTTATTCACTGAGGTACTGAAAAAAACGTGGCGCCTTGGGGATCGTGAAATACGTAAGGGAAAGAAATTGTATTTACTTCGTTGTTTCCTTCGCTTTAGCTCAATTTTTGTTTGACTGTCTTCGATTAGATAGCCTGAGACAAATTACAAATGAATTCAATCTAATGGTGCTGACTAAACTGCTTGTATTAGAAAGTTGCAGGAACCTAAATTGAAAGACAGGACAACGTTGTTGCGTCACGCAATGCTTTAACGAAGAGATTTGCGTAACGACCCGAATATACAAGAGCTGAAAGGCGGTCCCAAAGAGAGGTGTGCATCACTGCTTGGAAGGCGTGATGCGAACTCTGGCGACAAAATCGCCATCAAGTAGAAAGGCGTATCCTGTAAATGGTAGGGTAGGATACCTTGACTTTGACTTCATATCCGTACAGGAGTTCCCTCTCCTTCAGTAAAATAGAGCTGAAAAATAGAGACGCACACGAGCACAAAAATGGATGTTATGAGCTTGCGCGAGCTCTTTCACAAGTCAGGCATAAGTAAGAGTAAGACTTTATTGAAGTGACTGACTCTAAGCTACATTGAAAGCTACTTTACAATGAATACTATTTAAAATGCATGATTACTGTTGAAACCGATGAAATATAAAAAACATATATACAATAATCTAACAAAGAGAAATCTTAAAACATGTAGTGTGGATCAAACTTCTAGGTACAGCGGCTGGCCACGTCTACCTTAATTATACTTTTCTGAACATTTTGCGCGCTTTAAGCAGAATGAAATCATATGATTGCGACTTTTTTTTCAAATTTTTATCTTCTTTTTCGGTGGTCTAGTATTATCAGCATTATTCTTTCTGTTTGAACTCCAGAAAGGTGTATTTTCTTTAACAGAGGAGTGAAATATCATCTTGAAAATTTAGAAACGACAAGCGAGTGGCAATTTGCATAAATCAATATCCTAATTAAAATTTTACAGGTCCAGTGAAATTCGGAACACTGCATGTTCATATTCACTCGTAACAATCCAGCATGAGAGAGTAGGCACAAACTCCTTGTTTCGAAAGGTTTCGTCCCAATTCTTCGATTTCCCTGGGCTCCATTTTCGCTGCTTTCTCGGATCTGGGGTCCCTTTCTCGAACGTCCCAGTGGTTACCCGTCCCGTAAAGCTATTTTTCGTTTGCCGTATTTACAGTCAAGATCAAAATATTAATAACTTTGAAATTCTAACAATAAAAATATCAGGAAACAAAACAGAATGATTTTTGAGCTAAAACTTGCAGTAATGTTCCTCAGATTGCGTCCTAAAATATGCCTTCGGGTCCGTACAGTTACTGGGACATTCGAGATAGGGGTTCCTTTCCCAAATAGCGACTAGTAATCAATCAATCAATCAATCAATCAAGCAAGCAAGCAAGCAAGCACGCACGCACAGAAGCACGCAATCAATCACTCACTCAATCAATCAATCAATCAATCAAGCAAGCAAGCACGCACGCACACAAGCACGCAATCAATCACTCACTCAATCGATCAATCAATCAATCAATCAATCAATCAAGTTTACTTTCATATCGGTCAATACATGTTACATTAAATTAAGACAAATATGAATGCATGCAGGAGAACTAAAGAAACCTTTACAGGCTTTTACAATGTAGTAATAGTTTTACGATCGCGCGCGCGCTGAGGACGAAAGCTCAAGTAATCTGCGCGCGCTCAAAGGAAAACTGCAGTGTTTTTCGATATTTTATGACGTCAACATGAGCACAAAACGCAAGACTGACAATGGATTTTCTCGCGTTTCCTTCCGTGATTTTTTTTTAAACTTGGCTCAGTTGTAACCACATACAATTCCTATAAAATAACCTATTTCCGCTAAAATCTGTCAGAGCTAATCTAATATATTTAGAACAATGACAAATTACAGAATATTGGAAAAACCGTCTGAACAACCTTGACTTTTTACCAATTCAAAATGTCAGGCAATATCATTTCCATGATGTGGCAAAGTATGAAAAAATTACACCGAAGGAAAGTTAAGGAGTTAAGGCCAAAATGAGGAATATATCTGCCTGTCATTTGATGAGATGTTGCCATGGTAACGGCCTTAATCCAAAAATTGACAACCAAAAACTAAGCCTTATTTTAACAGTACCCATACTGGTAAATCTCTACAGGGAAAACTTTAAGAGAAATTAACCAAGTTTCCCTTTCTAACTCGCGCTCTACAGGGGGGTGGAGGGTGCTCGTAAATACTCTAGGGAGCCACCTTAATTACAAATATCTACTAAATTTGGTATCAGGGATAACCAAGCAATGTAAGCTTAGGTATGACATTATTTCATAATCTAGTACTAATTAAATTGCAATAAGCGAAAATTATTCTGATAGTAAACTGTTTAATCTGTTTTTTAAACACATTTATTGAAAAAGGCTATTTTATTTCATGTGGAATAGTGTTCTGTATATTAATTACTTTATTTCTAGTTGAGTAAACACCCAAATTTGTCCTATTAAACTGTGGGTCCAAAGGGGTGACCGCTTTGAACAGCCTGTAAAGAACATCAACTCCACAGACTCCAGCTTGGCTTGTTCACCAGAGAGATCCTCTTGAAATGTGTAGGCAGCCACAACTTAAAATTGAATCAAAGTGGCTATGAGTCATTCAACTTGGAAAATGGATCGTCTGTAAACAGTGACTATTGTAGTCAACGTTCAACACGCTACTTGGCTTTAATCGATAAGATGAAATGTGCAATTTAACAAGTGCGAAGAAAGCGATGAAAAGGGAGCGGTTGCTACAAACAAAATAAATTACAAGTTATGGACGAATACAATAAAAGAAACAGAAATAACGAGCCGAAGGTAGACGATACTTACAAACGTTGTATGACTAGGAAGCTAAGGAACACGTAAAAGGAAAATGGCAGGGCGGTAAATGAAACGAGATGATAGTAGCGTCGCGATGAAAATGCACAAATAAACTAGAAAGACGCATACAAAAGGGGACTGAAACAAAGCAAAATTATGCGAAAAAATCTAACAGAACATCGATAACGTGAAAGCGAGATAAACGAAAAGAATGCGATGATCACGAAAGAATGCACGCACAAACGGAAAAAATAACAATTAAATGCGGCTGCAACACCAGGTGTGCAGGGAGAGGTTATCAGAAACTTAGTCAAATTAATGTGATGTGCAAGCCATAAACACTACTCTGGATTCAACAGAGAGCCACTTATTCAACGGGAGGTTTTGATGGAGTAAATAAACTATTAGTCTTTCGTAAGTGGAACTATTACTCGCTAATAGCCTTCCTTCTTTAGGCCTCTTCGCAACATGTGCGCATAAGGCCCCCAAGAGGTCCCTCCAATATTCGTTGTCCTAGGCGGTCTTTACAGCCTCATTCACCCACAGCAAAGCAACAAAAATAGAGAAACGAATTGTAAGAAAACTAAGTGTGCAATACGTCCCCTGTTTGACTGGAACCGCAATGAAAAATCAGGGAATGAGTTTTCCGTAAAGTGGACAATCTTCTTATTTTCCAGGTAGCTGTGCAATCGATTTTCTCAGCTTTCTGCAATGTGGCAGACAAATTGTCCCCAGAGGCTATGATCCTTTTGATCAGCACTCAGAATGGCGACCTCTAGCTATAGCTAGACGGATTTTCTGTGCATGCTCAGCATATTCGATTTGTATCACACCCATTTGTCAGGTTTGATGATTCATGTAAGTCCAAGAATCGCTCAGTTCTGTTGTTGGACCAACCCAGATGTTGAGATCCTTGGTGCTGACCAAAAATATCACGGCCTCTGCAGATGAGAATGTACTCCTTAGTTAATGACTGGCTTTGTGGTGGTGTCAATCACTCCACCGTGCCATGGCAACATACCTGTCCTGGTCTCAACTTTGCTATCAGTATATCATTGTGCACTGGTCTAATATCTTGTGGACCGTACTGCGAACAAATGAAACAAGACGACTATGAGATGAATACACAGCAAATGAGATCAACATCTCAGATCAAATGAGATGTTGTCATCTCCAACAGGCCATTTTACAGTTGTGTGCTTAGATACCTGGCCTATGAATGCAAGCGAGGCTGGAGGTGACCTTGCTTTGATACAGACCTCTCTGCCTTTTCATTGAAAGGCCGACTAGTTAGCATTAGAGCAACTTGATTTACACAACAAAAGAAGAGAGGTCTGTATCAGAACAAGGTCTCCTCCAGCTTCACTGCCATCCAGAGGCCAGGTCACTTAGCAGACAACTGTAAAATGGTCTATTATATTACCTTTCTGGCCTGATTTCCAACTGGCACCCACTTCAAGTGATCTGTGTTAACTGAAAAACAAACTTCTTTTAATTTAACTAAACTAGCAATGTTTAAACTACAATTACACAAATTAACAGTGAGCAATAAAAGACTTGCATATTATGGGTACAACCCAACTTATCGACCAAATATGCATCCTCCCTACAACTGCATGTAACATACCTTTAGAGTTAATAAATAATTCATCAGGATCGGTGGCATTCTTTGGTGCATTCTTGTTCTTGATGCACTTGACTTTAAGATCAAACTGTAGAGTTGTATTGTCCTTTGACTCTTCATCACCTTTGGTAGAATAATAAATAAGTAAATAAATGTTAAATGCGTTAATAAACAAATAGCTGCAAACATCAGTATTACTTTCTTTGTCTTTTACTGTTATTCTCACAACACTGCCTTCCATTCTGGCGTATAACAGATATGTATCTGAAAAAGCGTCTACACCTACTGACAAAGATAATTGGGGATAAACTGTGACAGTCTTCACCTAGCACTAGCTTTCCTTATTGGGGAGGTGGGATGATGAAAAATGATACCCTTTGCCATTATAATGACCAAGCAAGTAGAAATTGACGATAAAAGTGAAGTACATTTCAGACTTGTCATGACACCATTTTCAAGTTAAAAAAGATAAGAAATAAACTGCCAGGAAAAGATAAAACATATTAAATAATTAATCAATCTGGGGCTATACGGCATGGGGGCGCGTTCCCCAGGTGGCGGATAGGGAGCCCTCCCTTTGGGGGGTTGCACCTGAACAATACGGAATAGGGTGCCGCGGACCGACATAGCCTAGGAGAAGGACAACTCTGATCTCAAAACCCAGGTAGATGGAGCTCGATAGCCTTGGTAGGCAGTCCGTCTAGGAGAAGGAGAACTCTGATTCTAAACCACGTGTGGATGGAGCTCGTTAGCCTTGGTCGGCAATCCATCTACGAGAAGGAAAAATCAGAAACCAAACCAACCGGCCCTCCAGGTTCGGGGGTTGGGCGCTGGGCTAACAACCCAGCACTGGAATAAAAAACAGACCTGTTACAGAAACCCCAACAACAAATCCAGAAAACAACTTGGTTGCAGAAGAGTCCTCTCCAGTAGAGCCTATGATGCGGGCTGGTGAAAGCCTTCGGGAGGCCAATGTGCAGACAACTCTTCTGTCAGCCAAAAGCAAGATCAGAATAGGGACCTGGAACATCCGAACCCTATATGAGGCAGGGAAATCTGCACAAGTGAGCAGGGAAATGCATCACTACAACCTCAAGATGCTAGGGCTGTGTGAAACACACTGGAACGGCACTGGATGAACGCAACTGACGAGTGGTGACACTATCATCTAATCCGGACATGGGGAAAGACACCCACACGTTCAAGGAGTAGCCCTGCTTCTGACAACTGAGGCAGCACAGGCACTACTCTCCTGGGAGCCAGTATCACTGAGGCTCCTGACGGCAAGGTTAAACTCCAAGGGGAGGAAAGTCACCGTCATCCAGTGCTATTCACCCACCAACGCAGCAGAGACCACGGAAAAGGAGGCATTCTACGAACAGCTCCAGGCAGTGATGGATAAGCTGCCAAGAAGAGACCTGAAGATCCTAATGGGTGACCTCAGGGCAAAAGTGGGGGCAGACAACACCAACAGAGAACTCGTCATGGGAAAACATGGAGTTGGCGTCCAGAACGAGAATGGAGAGCTACTTACTGAGTTCTGCACTTTCAACGACCTGGTCATTGCAGGCACCGTGTTCCAGCATAAGCAGATCCACAAGACGACAAGGACATCACCAGATGGGAGGACTGTGAACCAAATCGATCACATCACCATCGGAAGAAAGAGGAGGAGAAGCTTGCTGGACGTCAGAGTCAAACGAGGGGCAGACGCAGCCTCGGACCATCACCTGGTGGTGGCAGACCTGAAAGTCAAGCTGAAAGTCTACAGAGACCGAGTAGACAGGCCATCCCACAAATACAACATACACAGCTTGAAAGACAAAACAAAGGCTGAGATCTACCAATGTGAACTGAGAAACCGGTTCAGTGCACTCGCCCACCAACCAGAAGAATCAGTAGAGGAGAAATGGCGTGGCCTGAGGGACACCTGGAAGGCCACATGTAACAAGGTCCTGGGGAAGAAAACTAGATAACACAAAGAGTGGCTGTCAGCCAATACCTGGACCCTCATCAACAAGAGGAAACAGCTGAAGAACGGCATCAATCACACCCAAGACCTGCAACAGAAGCAAAATCTACGGGCCCAGTACTGGGAGTTGAACCGACAGGTCAAGAAAAGCACCAGAGCGGACAAGAGGAGCTTCATACACGATCTCACAGAAGAAGCAGAAACAGCAGCTGGCAAAAGAGACATGAAGAGGCTGTATGAGATCACAAGAACACTGTCAGGGAAGAATAAGGCCCCCTCAAGACCAGTGAAAGACAAGAACGGCGAGACCATCACAGATGAAGCCAAAGAGAGAGCAACATGGTCAGAACACTTCCAAGAGATTCTCAACAGACACCCACCTCAAGTCCCACCTGACATCCCACCAGCAGCAAACCAGCTAAAGGTGAACATCAATCCACCAACCAAGGCCGAGGTCAGCAAAGCCATCAAGTCCTTGAAGTCAGGCAAGGCAGCAGGCCCAGACGGCATTCCACCAGAAGCACTAAAGGCGGACGTCCAGACCTCCACAGAGATGCTCCATC